CCCTTTGCATGCATTTCCGAGTTGGTACAGTGCCACGTCAGCAACAGTGCCACGTCAGCCACAGTGCCACGTCAGCCACAGTGCCACGTCAGCAGTGCCATGTCAGCAGTGCCACGTCAGCAGTGCCACGTCAGCAGTGCCATGTCAGCAGTGCCACGTCAGCAGTGCCACGTCAGCAGTGCCACGTCAGCAGTGCCACATCAGCCACAGTGCCACGTCAGCAGTGCCACGTCAGCCACAGTGCCACGTCAGCAGTGCCCCGCCACCATGACGGGCGCAGCTCTGGGCATGCCAGACCAACTGGCCAACGAGTCTCTTGCCGAATACAAACAGCGGTTCCAGACTCAGCTCACATTGATCGAGGCTGAGGAACAGCGCCAGCTGGCAGCCGAGGCTGCCCGCCTACAGGCTGAAGCAGCGGCAACAGCTGAGAAGCAGCGGCTACAGGCCGAAGCTGACGCAGATACCCAGGCATGCCGCAAGGAAGCCCAGGATCTGTTGCAGCGGCATGAAGCCGCCAGCATCGAAAGACTCAAGTTCTGGCACTTTCAACCATCCAACGGCGACGACGCAACACCGGAGGAGCAGCACAGGGAGTTCACGGCCAAGCTCATAACCAAGATGGTTTACTCTATTAACCATCTGCAGTCTGAGTTCGCAAATCTCCAGCGGGCCATGAGGACCTACAAGGCCCAGCACGAGGATGCGACACGGGCACTTGATTCCCGTATGCACGACCTGGAGCAAGCTGCACCGGGACAGCAGGCTGGCAAGTCCAGCAGCGCACCCTCGAACCGCCAACTGGAGGAACGCGTTGACCACGTAGTGGCAATGCTAGGAGACATCAGTGCCTTCGCAGAGCCGGCCACCATCAGCCAGCAGTTTGATGTGCTGGACACTAAGAGTAGTCAGCAACAGCAGACTGACCACAGCCACAACAACAGATCGGCGAGGCCTTACAAGATGCCGACGTTCCGGATCGAGAAATTTGATGACTACACACATCAAGACCCGGTCGTCTGGTGGCAAGGATTTACAACCGTCCGGGTATATCTGCCCGTACTTATGCACGGTCACGTTCCGGGTGTGGGGTTTGGGACCTTGTACTTATGTTACGAGGGACTCTCTGCACGGTCGCGACCGTCGGTTTTAAGAGAGAGAGAGACAAAGAAGGGGGGGGGGGGGCTATTTGGGGATGACCCCTGCTGCGTGATGGGTACCAGACCTGTGAAGCACCCGTACCTGGCGCCGAAAGCGCCTAGGTACGGGCGCACTCATGGGAGACAGGTGAAGTGGTGATGGGGACTTGCAGTCCCCATGCATTACGATAGGCGCCCATGACAACGGGCAGCTGTTTCCTTTTTTTATATGGGATCATTCTGTGTTTTTTTGTTGGTTTTTCTTAGATTTTATTTTGTTCTTTTCTTTTATCCTTCCCCCCCCCCAACTCGTTGGCATCAGCAAAAGGTTGCGCCCGTTCGTTCAGCAACGGCAGCAGTCTGCTCTTCGGCGCATGAATCGAGCACTTGAGATGTGCCAGATACAGGCGCAAATGGCATGTGGAGGGCAAGGGGACGAGACTATGCTGAGCTTGACTCTAGTTCGTCTCTGTAAAGTGACTTGAGAGGGGGTGGCTGCTCGTTTTCGAAAACGAGTTGCCCCCTGTATAAAGAAAGGAGGGGGTAAAAGAAACGAAAAAAAAAAAAAAAAAAAAGAGCAAAAGGTAACGGCCGCGAACGTGGCCGCGGCCATGGAACAGGTGCAGCCCCTAGAAGCTTCTAGGGCTGATGGGACTGCATCTGTTCAAGTTGAGCATGCAGTCCTNCCATGGAACAGGTGCAGCCCCTAGAAGCTTCTAGGGCTGATGGGACTGCATCTGTTCAAGTTGAGCATGCAGTCCTGGAATGGCTTGGTTCTGCCATTTTGGACTGCGCCCGGCCGTGGGTGACGGCCAGGTGAATAACCAAAGTCAGGAACTTGATGTTCCKRGTRGAACATCAAGATTCCMAGCCCTCGATCGAAGTTCAGAYCGAGRGCTAKGCTCCGCCCCGTTTTTTTTGGCTGAGCCTCAAGTGGCTGCCTACCACTCCAGCCCAGCTATAAAAGCAGGGCTGGCCARCARCATYCTCACTCAGTTGAGGTGCTGCCCACATTCTGATGGAATGTGGAGTAGTGAGCAGCATTATGCYGCCAGAGTGTTGAGGGCCARTGAGTAAGAGGAGTGGAGTGGAGGTCTGCAGTGAGAGAAGAAAGGTGAGGCTGCCATAGCCACCGGGCTGCGTGGTGCCCGTGGGAGGTGCTGCTGTTCGCTGCAATTCTTTGGCAAGCGGTGCAGGGGAGGCTCTGCCCGTTTGGCACAGCGGCGACAGGTCTTTGGCAAGCGGTGCAGGGGAGGCTCTGCCCGTTTGGCACGGCGGCGACAAGTCTTTGGCAAGCGGTGCAGGGGAGGCTCTGCCCGTTTGGCACGGCGGCGACAAGTCTTTGGCAAGCGGTGCAGGGGAGGCTCTACCCATTTTACACGGCGGCGGCAGTGTATTTTTGCCAGTGCTGCGGAAGCGCTGCCGAAATTTTGTGGCGGCGGCATTGATTTTTACGGCAGTGGTGAGGAAATGCTGCCGTTTGTTTTTGGCACGACGGCAGCGACGTTGTCAAGGGGAGGTACTGTCCATTTGGAGGCCCGACAATGGCGGCAGTGCTGCCAGAATTTTGCAGCGGGGTGGAGCCGGTTTTCTGTGTTGATGTGTGATTAGGCGGKGATGYCGCACGGCGCCATAGTACCGTTGACGRCGCAGCAAGCGGTGGTCCGCATATTTTTTTGTGGTGCACGGTTGTTAAGGTGAATTTCAGTTTGGCATARMGGTTGGGCTARCGCTGATGCACGATTGGGATTGTGCGGGAGCGGTGCGTGGGCCGGAGACATGAGGAGGACGCGGAGTGAGTGCTCGTGACAGTGACTATTGGAGTTGCAGCGCTTGCGGTTGCGCCAGAAGGATATCCTTATTTTTGGGAGGCTCGCGRCACTTGCARATTCAACMAGGGCCACCTTTATTTCTTTGGCGGCGCGCAACGCAAGCGGGATTTGAAAGTGGGACCATCTGGGACCATTTTGGGACCCGGTGGGACTGATTTTGAAGATCGGAACCGACATATTGTGGTGGCTATTGTGAGCGTACGTGGTACCTGGAGAAGACATGGACTTCTGATTGGTTGAGAGTATCCTTGGTAAGGGAAGTACAGTTGGGACTGTTGGGACTACATGAGAGTCATTGTTGGGAACACCCTCCTGGAAGGTTATCTCACTTGAGCCTTTCAGTGGAGGTGATTTTCGCTCATACGAGCACTTGGAGAGTAAGGTGGCCGTCATTAAGTGGGACGACCACGAGTTGTGGAGTTGTAAGTTGCATATTTCCAGCTTCAACGACGACCGTTTCCTCAACTCTAAMTGGAATACTACTCGGCTTTCTTGAGTGAGCCGGATCAAACTTCACTCAAGGTCAGTTGGATGACTCAGATTTTCCTTCACACCTGTGTGAACCCGCACTTTGCTTGACCTTGTGGTTTTGAATGTTCAAAAGAAAAGGCAGAGGAAAGTTGTGTGAGTCATGCATGYGAATGAAAAAGTCTGACTTGAATCWGGGATSGTACTRTTTTCTTTTGAACTTGTTTTCTTTGCATGTTGTGCARGTAGGKAGAAGAATGCTTGCTATGGAGATTGACTTTGCCTATTTGGGATGGAAAAAAGGATTGTCATGCTTCTATCTTTCACTTGCCTGCATGACAGAAGTACTTGAATTCCGAAATGAGTAATTTCAATGGGTGCCATGAAAGAAGACTCGTGAATCTAAACAAAGACAGTCAATTGGACTTAGCATTTTCCCAGGATTGACACATTTTATCCGGAATGACCTTCTATATCTATACCTGTCAAAGTGATTCTCATTCTCTATCTCATTCAATTTCTTTACGTCTAAGTTACCATGAACCGAGAAGGGATGAGAATAATTGAAAGTAACTTGCAGTGAACACATTCTTTTCCTCTAGGAAGCATCCAAGGTGGGGGTTCGTATGCTTTCGGAGCCGGCCCTRTTATCGACTTGGAGTGGACCCGRCTCGTCGGGGGTGGTACTTYGTCGATTCGGTGGTRACGACCCAACCTCTGAGATCWSGGTCTTCGGGCTCAGGCGAGGGGAAGGAGTATCCACAGACCACTTCCTAAAGGAAGAKGCATGCAACACGTYAAGCAATGCCCCTGATCAAGAATCATCCGCGAARCAACCTGTCATCCAGGAAGATTGAGAATATATGGAGGCAKGTGTGTGCGTGTTTAATYATAGGTCGGCGTTAGTTGGAATGAATAACTTTGGCAGCGTGTCTCATCAAGTCAAAACTAAGGCAKTCCRGCTACCTTGTCGGYTGCATCAATATTTTTATCGGTAGTCAGCTTCTCGTTGGCGATTGTATGATTGTTTTTGTGGAATTCGACYCGGGGTGGTYGGATTGTGTTTGATATCATGTTGTTGGATGTAYTATATGATGATTCTGATTTTTTCAGWCATCTTTCCAGATTGGGCATGTTCCTGTCGACTACGGTCGACTCTTTTTGGTGAAATTATRTGTGTTTGTAGTAACTTTCTTTTGATTGTGTATCTAAGGGACTAGGATTAATTTAGTTGTGTCACGCTTGGTTGAGACCGTCCTAGTCGATCGGTGTCCGCTCCGTAGTTAGGAAATCAGCACCCTAAGGAATGAACGACGTTCGGTTCCACTCGGCGTTGACCGACGTATCTATACTACGGCGAACGAGCAAACGCCCTCGGCTAACCTACCTCTGCAATTGCATCTAAAAGCTTTCGCATGTGGGTCGGTAGCTCGGTAGGGATACGCCCCTAAGGGTGGTGACAGCCCCTTAGGGAAGGTAGCTTATGCCCCGCAGGAACCTATCATGTCGTAGGGGACCACGGGATGTATTGCTAGCGCACCCGGCCAGAGCTGCGAAGGACGATGCGACCGCGCACCWTCTCGGCGGCTCGCGGGGTTATTTTTGCGTCGTCCTAAGTTGCCTCTGAATTTGTTTTATATACTCCTGCGTGACATGGCCAGGAGGGCCCTCGTTCACGCGAGGGCSGATGCKCTCGACAGGTGGCGMCRTTGCCGGGGATAAYGGCAAACTACCGTTGTCCCTSGYGGAACGACACTCGGGTGTTTTGTTATTTTATTTTGATATTTGTTTTTCGAAAATAGGCATGATTGATATTTGATAGACCCTACRAATYATTCYGACTTCTTACYTGTATGCCTTATCGCTTGCARGTTAATCTTCTCATAGCAAGATGGCGGAAGGTAGCAGGYTGAATGACGATCTTTGGGATAAGATGRAGAAGTTGATTGAAACGCTCGGAGAGAAGATCGAAAGAGCAGCTACCGCTCCAAAGATCGATGTTCCGATTTTTGATGGAAGTAATGTCTTGAAATTTCTTTTAACATTTAAGCAGTTGGCTGCCACTCATGATTGGAGCGAGCAGACAATGCAGAAGAGGGTGATCTCATCGGTACATATAGACTTGCGTGATGACGTAGCAAAGTTGGTCTCTGAAGTTAAAAGTTKGAACAATTTTCAGAGACTGATGATTGCYAAGTTTTCTGAGTCACCCGGAACCCGARATAGAAAGGGRAAGAGAAAGCAGAGAGATTTCGGTAGTGATGGCGGTAGTGAGAGTAATCAGTTAAAACATCGTCATAAGCTTACTAAAGCGGAAAGGGTTGCAYRTAACTTGGTTCTAGGGGGTCAAGGAACCAGTCGTCGGGACAGGGAAATTGCAAGCATCAGACCATGTGAATCTCGGGGAGGTGTTCCGGCCACGTTGGATATTAAATCGCCTACTTGCATACAAGGGAAACAATTAAGTAAGAAAAAAAGGAGGAGGCAGACTTTAGCTTACTATAAGTTTTTGAAATGTATCTATTGTGCTCYAAGTGGTCATAGTATAAAATTTTGCAGACGTTTTCAATTGGATGCGGAAAAAGGTATTGTTAATAGAAAGGAGGAGGGRATCTGGTTTGACTGGACGAACTCTCCGATCATCTTGGTTGAAGGGGATAGGAGGAGTATTAGAGATGTAATAGTTGAGCGAATGTGGTGTAGGATTAAGGAATCAAATTAGATTATATAARCTATTATAGAGTTAGACTGACGTTCCACCCGGTTTTTGTTATGGCCAGGAGAAATGGAAGCAGCAAGTGGAAGCGAAGGTGGTCATCAAGATAAAGATATATCGAATCTTCAAATGATAGTCCACCTTCTAGAGCAGAAAGATACGAAAAGAGAAAGCTTGCCAAAAATAGAAATCACTCTTTTCGATGACAACTTTGTTTCCACATTTCTGGATAAATTTGAGCAACTTGCATYTGTCAATAACTGGGATGATCATAAAATGTTGYGACTGGTTCTGAGATATGTTGAAAAAGATCTCGTRGATGTAATCCAGAAAATAGCCGAAGCATCAACAYGGGTGGATTTTCGAGATGCCATGTTAGAGAAGTTTTGGCTTGGGGATAAATTGACGACATTAGAGGATTTGAAGAATATCAAACGGGATGTGTACGTAGTAGAAGAGAAATTTCTTCTTGATTATGAAAGGACCGCTTGTCGGTTACAGAGTTTAACGGATAAACAGAAATGTCTTACCTTCCTCGCAAATTTCTYTGAGGCAGAGCAGCAGGAGCTTATCAGTGGGGTAAACGGCAAGTCGGATTGGGCAAGGATCTGTACAAATTTTAGGAATGAGACCTTTGACCAAGTCTTTCGGTTGCAACTTCGCTTGCTACAGTCTGAGGGGGAATGCCGGGATAATAAAAGGAAAAGGGATTCAATCCTTATTTCGATGCTCCCAGAAGTAAGGGGGATGATGAAAGACATTAAGGGAGACTTACGTTGTGAGCATCAGCGAGAAAAGCAAGGAAGCAAACAACTAATGTTGGATCAACATGATCTAAGCAGAAAGAGTAGGAAGGTTTGTTCTAATGATGTCTCAACGCCAGTTGCTCAGGAGAATGAGTCCTCCAAGTTAGAGTCTCGAGGTCGGCAAGGGCAGCGTGCGATGAGAGGGAGAGAGTATTGGAAGAACATTGTGTGTAAAAATTGTGGTAGAGTTTGGCATACTCAGAGTCGGTGTAAGGGATCGAAAGTCGACGAAAAACAAGTCGTCTAATTTCTGATTCGATGGTTCTTACCAAATTTTGGAATTCTGTGTGGGATCATGATTTTTCTTCAACCTCTCTTAAAAAGATTTTGGGTGAGACCTTTTCATAAAAAATTGATCTATGTTTGTGAGAGTTCTATATTACTTATTGGGGATATTTGCCATCATGGGCAAGTGCATACATGATCTCTTCTTCAGATCAACCGGACTCTTGGCCAGGATGGTGATATGCTTGCCTTATGGATGTGATAATTATAGAAATATGTGTGTTATGTATTTTTTATCCATGAGACATGTATTGCATTATGTATGTATTTGAGATTTTTATCATGTCATGGTGCTTGTGCGATAAAACTGTGAGCTCTGTAGATGGTAGTGAGGCCCGCGCCGGAGCCATGCTTC